CTTGGAGACTAGGACACAATGGAACCATGGCTTCAAACTACACGAAAGGAGATTCCATCTGAACACGAGGAAGAACTTCCTGACTGTGAGAGCCGTTCAGCAGTGGAACTCTCTGCCAGGGAGAGAGTGTGGTGGAGGCTCCTTCTTTGGAAGCTTTTAAGCAGAGGCTGGATGGCCATCTGTCAGGGGTGATTTGAATGCAATATTCCTGCTTTTTGGCAGAATGGGGTTGGACTGGAGGATGGCCCAGGAGGTCTCTTCCAACTCTAGGATGAACTTCCTGACTGTGAGAGCTGTTCAGCAGTGGAACTCTCTGCCCCAGAGTGTGGTGGAGGCTCCTTCTTTGGAAGCTTTTAAGCAGAGGCTGGATGGCCATCTGTCAGGGGTGATTGGAATGCAATATTCCTGCTTTTTGGCAGAATGGGGTTGGACTGGAGGATGGCCCAGGAGGTCTCTTCCAACTCTAGGGTTCTAGGATTCTGTCACCGGGAAGAGTTTGCCGATGGGAAAGGGGGCTAGATTTGTTTTGCAGTGTTGGACAAAAAGTGGAGCCGAGCAGTCCTTTTCTGCCTCGCCACCCCTGCTCTTGGTCGGGATGTTTAAATCTATCTTGTGCACATTGCTAGAACGATCCGGCTTTAGGGCCAGAGGCAGCGATGGGGAGACTGCAAAGGACCTCCAGTGCGCAGCTTGGTTGGCTTGGTTGAAGCCCTCAGCCATTAAGTGACAGGGATTCTGTCACCGGGAAAAGTTTGCCGATGGGAAAGGGGGCTAGGTTTGTTTTGCAGTGTTGGACAAAAAGTGGAGCCGAGCGGTCCTCTGCAGCCTCGCCACCCCTGCTCTTGGTCGGGATGTTTACATCCATCTTGTGCGCATTGCCAGAGTGATGCGGCTTTAGGGCCAGAGGAAGCAATGGGACTGTTTGGCTCCACTTTTTGTCCAACACTCCGCAACAAACCTATCCCCCTTTCCCTGCCGCTCAGCCGCCTTCCTTGCTATTTTTCATTATTATTATTGTTGTTGTTTCCTTTCCCTTTATCAGCCTTAAGTACATTTAGGTGTCAATTAAATTTGAAATATCTCCATTTGTCAGCACTTGGTTTTTGGCCGGCGTGATGTGCTGCTGATTTGTCCAGGCATCCTGACACACGGGGAGGGGAGGCGGCCCCCCAAATGCAGATCGTCCTCATTAAAACCGAAGCGCCGGCTCGCCTAATGGTAGGCAGAGCCGTGGAGCGCATCCTTGGCTTTATTGCGCCGTGTTTCTGACATGATATTTAAAAAGGAACAGCCACGACTGTCAGCGCTGTCACATGCCGGCGCTAACCGGAGACATGTTAAACTAAACATTAGAAGGAGATCAGCAAGCCATCTGCATGGGAACTCGGCAAAGAGATTAGGGAGGCAGGAGCCCGAGCCGTCGCCGTGCCGAGGCGCCGAGGACTGGCGCTGTGACGGACAGGTCGCTTCCTCCCGCAAAGCCGCCACTGCCGCCGTGCTGCGACCCGCCTTTCCCGAGACAGCTCTTTGTGCGCGGAACGCCAGCGAGTGGCGGGTGGCAGCCGGCGGGAGAGGAGAGCAGCGCACAGCCGAACTGGGTTAATGAGGGAAGGAAGAGCCTTGCGCGGGAGGCGCCTGCCTCCAACTCATCCAATATTGAGGCTGGGGCATTATCAAGACGCGGCCCTTTAACGCGATTTTAACCAAAAACGCATTTGGTGCCGAAATTTGAGCCGGTTCTTAAGTGACGTCCCACCTTGTCAAAGCATAGTGATAGAGGATACCACTTGCGTTGGTTGGGATTGATAAGAAATCCAAGAAGGATGGCCTTGGGGTGATCTGCTCAAGCCTCTAAGACTGCAGTTCCCAACCTTTTTTGGACCAGGGACCACTCTCCAACATGAGTACCAAAAGGATTACGAATCACTGGGTTGTTGTAGTTTTTTTCGGGCTATATGGCCATGTTCTAAAGGCATTCTCTCCTGATGTTTCACCTGCATCTATGGCAAGCATCCTCAGAGATTGTGAGGTCTGTTGGAACAAGGAAAAGGGGTTTATATATCTGTGGAATGACCTAGCTCCAGCAGACAAGAGTCCTTTGTCCCACCCTGGTCATTCCACAGATATATAAATCCATTTTCCTAGTTCCAACAGACCTCACTACCTCTGAGGATGCTTGACATAGATGCAGGAGAGAATACCTCTAGAATATGGCCATATAGCCCGAAAAACCCTACAACAACTCAGTGATTCTGGCCATGAAAGCCTTTGACGATTATGAATCAGTTTTTGGTCAACTTTAGATTCAGTTTGGGGTGCTGGTTCAGAAAATTGCATTGGATAGACCACATCAGCTCCAGTTTCTGATACAGAACATATGTCATGGTCAGCGACAGGGAAGGAGTGGCAGGTGGTGCAAAAGGAGCAGAAATAAATAAATAAATAAATAAAGAGGAAGGAGGGTCGCGGACCAGATTTCTATCCTTGCGGCCCACTGGTGGTCCATGGCGCACTGTTTAAGAACCACTGCTCTAAGAATATGTAGGTCCCAAAAACCTTCCTTAGGGACCTGGAAACCCATCTGATCCCTCAAAAGTAGAAGTAGCATCTTCCAAACCAGTGGTTTCCAACCTTTTTTTGACCAGGGACCACTTGAACAGGGACTACTGTGACCAGGGACCACTCACTCTCCAACATTAGTATCAAAAGGATAATGAATCAGTTTCCATCCACTTTAGATTCAGTTTGGGGTGCTGATTCAGAAAACTGTATTGGATAGACCACATCAGCTCTAGTTATTCCACAGATATATAAACCCTTTTTCCTAGTTCCAGCAGACCTCACTACCTCTGAGGATGCTTGCCATAGATGCAGGCGAAACGTCAGGAGAGAATGCCTCCAGAACATGGCCATATAACCCAAAAAAACCTACAACAACCCAGTGATTCCAGCCATGAAGGCCTCCGACAGTACATTTGGGGTTTTGCTTCGTGACCCAGGATTTCAAAGGTGTTTGAATGTTGTTCAAGCCATTCAGTCTGAAGCCACATCAGTTGTTTTTCAGAGGTCCAAACAGGTCAAAGAATTCAATGACTCGAATGATGTTGAAACAGCTTTGAAACCATGAGTGACGAAGCAAAACCATGATTTTTTCCAAAATGGTTTGGATTCCTGGGTTCAACGATGACGCAGATGTGTAAACATTGATGGTGACTGTTGAACGGTAGTTTTGTGTCAAGGAAAAATGAAATGCAAAGAGACAGAATGGGGGACGATGAGGCCTGGCTCGAGAGCAGGACGTGTGAAAAAGATCTTGGAGTCCTCGTGGGGAGGAAGAAGGAGAACATGAGCCAGGAATGTGATGTGGCGGCAAAAAAAGCCAATGGGATTTTGGCCTCCATCAAGAGGAGCCTAGTGTCCAGGTCCAGGGAAGTCATGCTCCCCATGCTCTCTTCCGCCTTGGTCAGACCACACCTGGAATCACACTGTGTCCAGTTCTGGGCACCACAATTCAAGAGAGATATTGACAAGCTGGAACGTATCCAGAGGAGGGCGACTAAAATCCTAAAGGGTCTGTAGAACAAGCCCTATGAGGAGCGGCTCAAAGAGCTGGGCCTGTTTAGCCTGAAGAAGAGAAGGCTGAGAGGAGATATGAGAGCCATGTATAAATATGTGAGAGGAAGCCACAGGGAGGAGGAGGGAGCAAGCTTGTTTTCTGCTTCCCTGGAGACTAGGACGCAATGGAGCAAGGGCTTCAACTACAAGAGAGGAGATTCCATCTGAACATGAGGAAGAACTTCCTGACTGTGAGAGCCGTTCAGCAGTGGAACTCTCTGCCCCGGAGTGTGGTGGAAGCTCCTTCTTTGGAGGCTTTTAAACAGGCTGGATGTCCATCTGTCAGGGGTGATTTGAATGCAATTTTGGCAGAATGGGGCTGGACTGGATGGCCCATGAGGTCTCTTCCAACTCTAGGATTCTATGATTCTATGACTGTGAGAGCTGTTCAGCAGTGGAACTCTCTGCCCCAGAGTGTGGTGGAAGCTCCTTCTTTGGAGGCTTTTAAACAGAGGCTGGATGGCCATCTGTCAGGGGTGCTTTGAATGCAATATTCCTGCTTCTTGGCAAAATGGGGTTGGACTGGATGATGGCCCATGAGGTCTCCTCCAACTCTAGGATTCTAGGATTCTATGGCTGTGAGAGCCGTTCAGCAGTGGAACTCTCTGCCCCAGTGTGTGGCGGAGGCTCCTTCTTTGGAAGCTTTGAAACAGAGGCTGGATGGCCATCTGTCAGGGGTGATTTGAATGCAATATTCCTGCTTCTTGGCAGAATGGGGTTGGGCTGGATGATGGCCCAGGAGGTCTCTTCCAACTCTAGGATTCTATGAGAGGTCAGGCGAGGATCTGGAGTAACTTTGGCTGTTGTAGGTTCATTCAACACGTTTTGATGACACAGGAGGCAAAACGTTTTGACCCTCCCTCATCCAGGGAAGGAAGTCTGCATCTGAAAGCGGGGCATGGTTTGTGTTTGGCTTATCTCTCCTTTGTGGAACCACTCCATTTCAAGGAATCCATGTTCTGAAAGGAGGTGTGAGCATTTCCTTTGTGGAATGTGGAAAATGTGAAGGCTCCTGGTCTGGTAGAGCGTGGACATGGCAGAGGCTCTGGACCTGGAATCCTGCCCTCCTCCTGCTTTGGGAGGGTTATCTCTTGGCTGCTAAGGAATTGCCACCCTCTTGCTCTCTTTCAGTCGATTGTGATCTATGTCAGGAATCAATGCAGAGTGGAAGGGAGCAGAGGAGGGTCCCTTGGAGCCTCTCCACCTCAGTCTTTGACCTTCTGGAAAAGGCCCTCTCTCTCACTCTGACTTTCCTCTCCTTCCAATCCTCTCCGGAGGTGGGAACGTGGGGAGGGATGTCTTGGTTAACGCTTTCCTTTCCCTCCGTAGGTGTGGCTGAGTAACCTGCTTGTGTCTCTTTCTCCCCTCCTGTCTGTCTCCTCCAGCCTGGTCAAGCCCACCCGCCACTATACGGTCTTTCTCTCGGAGGACTCTTCCGGCGACGAGTTTCCCCAGGAAGACGATCCCGGCTCTGCCTTCTCTGACAGCTTCCTCTTCTCCGCTCCCTTTGAATGGTCTCTCGCTTGACTCTCTGACGCACTTTGCAGCCTCTTCCCTTCCGTGTCTTCGCCTTTCCCTTGCTTGCGTGATTCTGTCGTGTGTACGCATGTGTACGTCCCATGTGCACCCATGCAGAGCTCAGTTTCTCACTTGACTCTCTGCCGCACTTCACAGCCTCTTCCCTTCCATGCTCGGAGCATGTCTTTCCCTTGCTTGCGTGATTCTGTCGTGTGTACGCATGTGTACGTCCCATGTGCACCCATGCAAAGCTCAATCTCTCACTTGACTCTCTGCCGCACTTTGCAGCCTCTTCCCTTCCATGTCTTCGCCTTTCCCTTGTTTGAGTGATTCTATCGTGTGTACGCATGTGTACGTCCCATGTGCACCCATGCAGAGCTCCTCGGCCCACAACATGGGTGGACGGAAGCTCTGCCATGGCTTCCCAGGCTTTGCTTTCCTCCCGTTCTGTCTGTTTCTGTTCTCATGTGTGCTTCTTCCTGCATCTTGCTCTCTTGATCCCCTTGCCCCATTCTGGACAGCCAGTTTCACAAGGAGCATTTGGCAAAGGCACGGCAAAAGGCCAAAAGTGATTGCTGAGGGCACGAGAAGTGTCCAAGAAGGAAGGTTGGGCAGCATCTGCAGTCTTATTTACTGGGGAGAACAGGATGTTGAGTGCCGTTACTAGAGGTTGAGTTTGGGAAGTGAGGGAGTGGGCTCTCCAGAAGAGAATGAACCCCACTATTGTGAGGAATGAGGGGAGAAAATGATAGGGAGGGGATGGACGATGGGCGGCTGATTGCAAAAGGCATCGTGCTCAAGGCAGGGACTCCATTAGAGTTGCCTCTGGTCCCTTCCTGGTAAGACATGGGAGAGATAGCTGGGGGCCACAACCATGGGTCCCCTACCAAAATGCCTCGGGACGGAGCCAGGCACCCTCCCTTTGCTAATGAGTTGGCAGGGAGAGAGCGAAACGAAGGCTCCCTCGTATTGCTTCTCCTTCCTGGTGCCTCTCCAACGTTTTCCTCCATCGAAAGCCTTCTTGAAAGGGCACCGTGAGACTGGCTGCCAGTCAAATGACAATCACCGTGGAAATGCATGTCAGTTTGTGGTGTTAATTGGATGCGCCTCGCACCGCCCTTCCCTCGCACGCAGAGCCGGCATGCAAATCGCAGGGCGCGCAAGGCCCCTTTTGCCTGTTTGGTGCTTGTTCTTCAATGAGCCTTCCCAGAGATTTCCATCTCCTCCATCATGGAGTCTGGTGTTTCTTGATAAGGTGACACCGGCGTAATCATTGATACTTACGAAAGCACCAGGTCTGACTTGCGCAGAGCCTGCCGGAGCAAAGGGAATGGAAATGTCCCTGGTGAGGACGTAAAGGACCATTCTCCACCCAAAAATACGATCCCAAACACTCCTTTGTGTGTTGTGCTTTGAAATTAGCTACACTGCAGGCATGGGCAAAGTTCGGCCCTGCAGGTGTTTTGGACTCCAACTCCCACAATGTGGGTATGCAGATGGTCCCTTGATAAATGCAGTTCCAAGATGACAAAGGCCATCCCTCCAACTGTTTTGGCCTTCAGCTCCCACAACTTGGGTATGCAGATGGTCCCTTGATGGACTGAAGGGTCCAGTTCCAAGAGGACAAAGGCATGGACCAACTTGGGCCTTCCTTCCAGGTGTTTTGGGCTTGGACTCCCACAACGTGGGTATGCAGATGATTCCTTAATAAGTGTCCAGTTCCAAGAGGACAAAGGCATGGGCCAACTTGGGCTCTCCCTCCAGGTGTTTAGGACCTCAACTCCCACAACTTGGGTATGCAGATGATCCCTTGATTGACTGGAGCGTCCAGTTCCTAGAGGACAAGGCATGGGCCAACTTGGGCCTTCTCTCCAGGTGTTTAGGACCTCAACTCCCACAACTTGGGTATGCAGATGATCCCTTGATAAGTGCAGTTCCAAGATGGCAAAGGCATGGGCCAACTTGTGCCCTCCTTCCAAGTGTTTTGGACTTCAGCTCCCACAAAATGGGTATGCAGATGATCCCTTGATTGACTGAAGTGTCCAGTTCCAAGAGGACAAAAGCATGGGCCAACTTGGGCCCTCCCTCCAGGACCTCAACTCCCACAACTTGAGTATGCAGATGATCCCTTGATAAGTGTCCAGTTCCAAGAGGACAAAGGCATGGGCTAACTTGGGCCCTCCCTCCAGGACCTCAACTCCCACAACTTGGGTATGCAGGTGACCCCTTGATGGACTGAAGTGTCCAGTTCCAAGAGGACAAAGGCATGGGCCAACTTGGGCCTTCCCTCCAGGTATTTAGGACCTCAACTCCCACAATGTGGGTATGTAGATGATCCCTTGACAAGTGCAGGTCCAAGAGGATAACTTCGGTCCCTCCTCCAGGTGTTTTAAGTAGCTGAGGGGGAAAAGGAAAAAGTCTGAAGCTGTTAGGAATTGTAAGAGTTGACACCCACAACACCTGCAGGGCCAAAGTTGGCCCATGCCTGAGCTACAGTCTTTGTTTGGGGTCCTGGCCTATTCACCCCTAGGGAGCTGTGTTTCCTCTGTGTCTGAATCCCAGTCCAGGTTGATTTTGCATGTCGTTAGCATCGCTAGGGTTGTGTCCATTGTGTTGAGTGTGTCTTCAAAGTTCCAACGTTCTTCGAGTCTCCCGTTTTGGGACCCGCGCAGATCTCAACTTGCACACCCGTGTCTCCCTTTTCCCCACTGTGAATTCAAGGCACTACTAATGGCTCACTCTCCCCAGCACATTTCCCACTACTTTTCCTGTCCTAAGAGTATATTTTGTGCCATAATGTAAGAGCTGAGGTATACCAGTTTGGGCTGGGGTGCCATAGTCCCTGTGCCTTCCCTTCTTTGGAAAATATAAGCTTGTTCATACACAGTCTCATTCAGATTGTTCCCACGTAAGCGCCTTTTGTACCAGGACTTTAATTCCTGCGAAGTGTGGTGTTGGATTCGACTCCGCCTTAATGAGCCCTTTCTCTCTGCCAGGCCGCAGCCGTACCGTACGTTGAAGGAGTCGGACAGCGCCGAGGGAGAGGAAGGTGCCATCCCCGCGAGGCCCCGCGCCCACCCTCCCACGCCAGACAGCCCTGCCGAAATCAGCCTCTTGGAGAGCCTTTTTTCAGGCCTGGATGTCGAAGCGCAGCCCCAGATCCTCAGCCAGGCTAAAAGCTTGGAGGACTTGAGGATTCCCAAAGAGGAAGAGGATCGTCTCTCTACCTTCGACTACCAGGTACGACCAGAATTGGAGAAAGAAACATTTATATATTTATTTGCAGCATTTATATTCCAGGGTCTTAGGGTGGATCACATAACATATACTTGGCAAACATTCGATGCCCTTAGACAGGACAGACCACAGATAGAGGGATTTTTCCCCAACTTCAGCATCCTGGAGGTTGTGCTTGATTCCGGCCACAGGAGGGTGCTGTTACTCCATCCTCACAGACTTCCTCCTTCCTTTGATCAAATTTTTCTGGCATTCCTTTTGTGGTGCCGTAAAATACCTGCCTTCTTAAGCGGTGCCTAATTTCTCTACTCACAGCTCAGAGCTGTTTTTGAACTGCATAGGTCACGTATGGGCAAACTTTGGGGGGGGGGGTGCATGCTAGCACTCCCTGCTCGGAGGACAGGCTGCCCGGTGATGGATGGAAGGAAGGAAGGAAGGAGAGATGGGAGGGAGGGAGGGAGGGAGGGAGGGAGGAGAGAAGGAAGGAAGGAAGGAAGGAAGGAAGGAAGGAAGGAAGGAAGGAAGGAAGGAGGAGGAGGGAAGGAAGGAAGGAAGGGAAGGGATGGGGGAAGGAAGGGGAGAGAGAAGGAAGGAAGGGAAAAAAGAGGGAGGAAGGAAGGAAAGAAGGAAAGAGGGAAGGAAGGGAAGGAAAGAGAGAAGGAGGGAAGGGAAGGAAGGGTGAAAGGGAGTAAGGGAAGGACAGAAGAAGAAAGAAAGAGAGGGAAGGAGGAAGGAAAGAGGGAAGGAAGAAAAGACAAAAGGGAAGGAATAAAGGGTAGAAGGGACATTTCAATCAAGGATAAAAGAAAGGAAGCGAAGGTTAAAAGGAAAAAGAGATGGAAGGAAGGAAGCGAAGGATGAAGGAAGGATAAAGGGAAGAGAGAAGGAACGAAAGACAAAATGGAAGGAAGTAAGGAAGGATAAAGAAAGAGAGAGGGAGGAAAGTGGGTAGGGAGGAAGGCTGAAAGAGTGGAAGGGAAGAAAGGAAGGAAAGAAGGGGAAGAGGAAGGAAATAGAGAAGGAAGGAAGGAAGGACAATAGGGTGGAAGGGGGGTGAAAAAGAGAGAGGGAAGGAAGGGAGAGAAGGAGGAAGGAAATAGAAGAAGGAAAGAAGGACAAAAGAGTGGAAGGGAAGGAAGGAAGAAAGGGAGAAGGAATGAGGGATAGGATGCTGAGGGGGAGGGGGGCCTGAGAAAAGAGTCCAAGGGGCAACATCATGCCCCCAGTCCTGGGTTTGCCCATACCTGGCTTAGGTGGACAGTGAGCTGGGCTGAAGATCGGGTGCTCACCCTAACCTGGGCTTCGAACTGCCAAACTTTTAATTGGTGTGATCGTATTGCTGCTGGTGATTAACCACCTGTGCTGAAGCTCGGCCCATAGTTGAGGGGGTACAAAATGGAGGGAAAGAAGTGCAGAATTAGAGACAAATGTTCGGTGGGAGGGGGAGGGTGTTTTCCAGTGAGAATGTGCAGAGTTAGGACTGGAGAAGATCACTGTGTGGGGCACGTGGGGGTGCACTGACGCTGTGTGTGCTTCCTGGCAGAGAATGGATCCCAGCGTCTCCGAGAAGCTCTGGGTTGCCCCGGGGATGAAGCCCCCCCACCCCTACAAGCAGCTGTGGGGCTTGGGCCACGACGACATGGCCATTCCCACCCGGTATGCCCAGAGCTCCCCCGAGAGGTCCCTGGCGCCCCTGGGGAAGGCGCCCCCGGTCCCACAGAGGCCGCGCAGCAGGGACGGCATCCTGGAGCTCGCCGAGAAGGACGCCGGCGGCTCCCCTTCCCCTTCCTCGCAAGGGAGCATCACCATCCCACGGCCGCAGGGCAGGAAGACACCGGAGGTGGGCATTGTCCCCCCGCCGCCTGTGCCCAGGCCCCCCAAGCAGCTGGCAGTTCCGGATACGGCGACCTCTCTCTCGGGTCGCCACGAGCTGGCCTCGGAGCATGCCCAAGAGGTGTTTGCAGCCAGAAACGTCCCTCTTGATTCCAAATTTGCTGGGTTCGCTGCTCCCCATCCGCAGCTTTTCGGCAGTGCAGGGAGCGCGACTGAAATGCTCCAGCCGGTCAGGGTGACTGTGGAGGGTGCCGACAGCGACGACGACTTCCTCCTGACCCTCCTCGACCCCTTGAAAGGAGGGGAGACCAGAAACCTTCTGGGGCCGTTGCCCCCCAGCCCAGCGCTGGGCTTCCCCCCCACCGCAGGGGACCTCATGCCCCCGACGCCCGCGCTGTTTGGCCAGCATTTGGGCTGCCCCCTTGCCACGCCTCCCTTCGGCCAGCCTTCTCTCAACCCGTTCATGCAGGCGGTGCCCTTGTCCCTCTCCAGGCCGGCCGGCAGCCCCTTTGCGCCTTCGCTGGGCCACGCCTACAGCTCCAGCTTCATCACCTCCACCTCGACCTTCTACCAACCCCAGAGGCCTCCTCCGAACCCCCTGGCGCTCTCCATGCCCAACCTCTTTGCCCAGTCCCCAGTGGCACCGGCTCCTCCCCAGAGCGCCACCCCACAACCGGCACAGCTTCCGGGCCCTTCCAAAATCCGGACACTGCCCCTGGCCGGTTCAGCCTCCAAAGCAGAGGCCAGGGTCCGGCCGGCGGAGCGGCCCGTCGACCTCCCGCTGCCTCCGCTCAAGGCCAGAGCGGCCGAACCAGCACCGCACCCGCCCAGGCCTCAGGTCAAGGACCCCTTTGAAGACCTGCTCATGAAGACCAAGCAGGAGGTCTCAGCCACGCCGGGGAAAGTGGAGCAGCTGAGGCGGCAGTGGGAGACCTTCGAGTGACTCGCCTGGCGGGCGGCTGCCAGGATTCCTTCCCAGGTTGCGCACTGAGCCGAGGCAGAGCCACCACATTCCACGGGCATGGAAGGGTCGCCGGGCGGGAGCCCTCGCCCCTTGGTCAGCGGCGGTGCTGTTGGCACTGTGTCCTGATCCAGAGCATATCCGGGGAATCCGCACCGGTTCCCTTCCCAAAGTCACCCCTGCCCGGTCGCCCAAAGACGGCTCGGGTATGGACGCAGAGGTCATGAGCCCCTTCCCCTCCTCACCCAAATTCCTGCATCAGAGAGGTCAGTTGCTCACTGCCACTCTGTTTGTTTCTGCAATCATGGTCCACTTCCCCACTTGCTTTTTCACCAGTGGGATCAGTATTGAATTTAAGTATTTTTTCTTGTGTTTTCACCGGCTGCAATTCTTTATTTTTATTTTTATTTTGCTTTCTCAAGGAAATACCGCACACAGGCCCATCTCTTTGGGTCGAGTTAATCACTGGGCTTTTTGAACTGAATCTTTTTTGTTACGGAGTTTTTTTTTGTGTGTTCATGCAAGTGGGTTATCTATGTTACTGGATATCCAGTGCTTCTGAACTCTCTCTCTCTCTCCAAATTTTGCACTCAACGAAGGACCTCTCGCCCTAAGGAAACCCAGTTTCAGTATTTGTCCCGCGGCACCAGGAAAGGGCCACAGGGCCCGTCATATCCGCCAGGGAAACGGAATCACCAGCAGTGGTCCTTTGGAAGAGCAAGGCTCTCCATGCCCTTCTCATGGTTCCCTCAACTCTCCCATAATGGTGTATGTGTATGTATATAAATCAATATATACATATCTATATATACGCACTAATAGGTCACAGTACAACAACTACATGTAATAGTACCTTATTTTATTACCAAAAATGATAGAAGACCAACGGGTGCCCTCCGTAATCCGCTTCACACGCAACACATTGGCAATGGTGGATGTTCGGAGGATCCGATCAGCGAAAACACGGATACAAAGACTGTCCGAAAGCCACGAGATGCAGCAAAGCCAGGATGGCAAGGGTGTGGGTCTTTCAAAGGGGGTTCCAAGCTGGGTTTGGATGGGCGGCCTTTGGCATTGGGCACTGATGAGCTGAAAGAAGCCGACCCAGATCCAGAGCAGGCATAGGCAAACTTCAGCCCTCCCTCTAGGTGTTTTGGACTTTGACTCCCGTGACGTGGGTATGCAGATGATCCCTTGATCGAAGTGACCAATTCCAAGAGGACAAAGCCCTCTGGGAGTTTTGGACGCCCATAACATGGGTATGCAGATTATCCTTGATTGAAGTGTCCAATTCCACAAGGACAAAGGCATGGACATGTTATGGGCATCCTCGGAGAGTTTTGGGCACCCATAACATGGGTATGCAGATGATCCCTTGATCAAAGTATCCAATTCCACGGGGACAAAGGCATGGACATGTTATGGGCGTCATCTGGGAATTTTGGGCGCCCATAACGTGGGTATGCAGATGATCCTTGATTGAAATGTCAAATTCCAAGAGAACAAACGCATGGACAAACTTCATCCGACCAGGAGTTTTGGGCGCCCATAACGTGGGTATGCAGATGATCCCTTGATTGAAGTGTCCAATTCCAAGAGGATAAAGGCATGGACATGTTATGGGCGTCATCCAGGAGTTTTGGGCRCCCATAACGTGGGTATGCAGATGATCCCTTGATTGAAGTGTCCAATTYCAMRAGGAYAAAGGCATGGACATGTTATGGGYGTCATCCAGGAGTTTTGGGCGCCCATAAGGTGGGTATGCAGATGATCCCTCGATTGAAGTGTCCAATTTCACAAGGACAAAGGCATGGACATGTTATGGACATCCTCCAGGAGTTTTGGGCACCCATAACGTGGGTATGCAGATGATCCCTTGATTGTCCAATTCCAAGAGGACAAAGACATGGACAAACTTCAGCCGTCCGGGAGTTTTGGGCACCCATAACGTGGGTATGCATATGAATTGGACACTTTGATTGAATTGTCCAATTCCAAGAGGACAAAGGCATGGACATGTTATGGGCATCCTCCGGGAGTTTTGGGTGCCCATAATGCAGATGATCCCTTGATCGAATAAAAATACATCCTGCATATGCAGATGATCCCTTGATCGAAGTGTTCAATTCCATGAGGACAAAGGCATGGACATGTTATGGACATCCTCCGGGAGTTTTGGGCGCCCATAACGTGGGTATGCAGATGATCCCTTGATTGTCCAGTTCCAAGAGGACAAAGGCAAACTTCAGCCGTCCAGGAGTTTTGGGTGCCCATAACGTGGGTATGCAGATGATCCCTTGATTGACTGAAGTGTCCAGTTCCAACACCATTCCTAACAGCCTCAGGCCCTTTCCTGAGGAAGGGGAAAAGGAAGGGGCCTGAGTCTGTTAGGAATGGTGGGAGTCGAAGTCCAAAACCCATGGAGGGAAGGCCCAAGTTTGAAAGGAGATTGCTCATCCATTCCACGATAGCCTCAAATGATTCCAGCCTCTCGGTGGCATGTTTGCTTACTTCTTGCTTTCTACAACGCTATAGGTCAAGACTCTTGTTTTATTTGGTCACTCAAGTTTGGGGTCAACTTGGCTAGTATTATTATTTTTTGTTACATTTCAATGGCCATTGGGCTTCCCATTGGCCTGCACACTCAAGGCATCACTTTGCACCCGCCCGCCGCGTGAGAGGCCAGTCCTCCAATGCTACCTCCTTTTCGTTTCCACCGGGTTTTTGGGGTTGTTTTGGCTGCTTCTTCTTTCCGTGGTGTCTCCGTCCTCCTTGCTTCGGCCTGTACACTGCGAAGGACACCCGCGATTCCGCCGGACGCCGACCGTCAAAGGGCACCGCTTGGCACCGCGTCCGCGTAGTCGCGCGGCTGCCAAGTACGGTTGCTTTTACGAGGCGCCCGCTCTGTTTTGTATTCTCTCTTTTTTGCTGGGAAAAAAAGATGTCTTTTGATATTGCCTAATTCTGAAATAGTAAAATATTTGAAGTCCAACCCAAGAGTGCTGCTTTGCTTGGTGGTCTTTGCTGCGGGAGCGGCCCAGGGAGACTGTTTTCGGAGCGAGATCTTTTTCAGTCTGGTCTCACCGAGTCGGTTGTGCTCTCTCCATAAAGCAAAGGTGGGCCTGTGCTTCATCCTATGTCTGAATGTGGCTGAGATGTCCACTTCCAACCTTCTTCATGTCGCGACCCCTTAATACAGTTCCCCATGTTGTGGTGACTCCCAACCATAAAAATATTTTTGTTGCTACTTCACTGTGATTTTGCTATTTTACAAATCACCATGTAAACATCATGTGCAGGATGTATTTTCGTTCACTGAACCACATTTGGCAAAAATACCCAATACGCCCAAATGTGTATACTGGTGGGGTTGGGTGGGGGGTTTTTGATTTTGTGATTTGGAAGTTGTCCTTTGCAACGACTCCATTGCAGCTGCGTCTCTCACTCGGTGCGTTCACTCACGCACGTGTTGCCCTAATTCAGACCCGTGTTGCACAAGCAGCATAGTGTAGGGTCCCAGCTATCATACTATTGCCCAATGATGGATTTGGACCAAACTTGGCACAAATACTCAATATGCCCAAATGTGAACACCGGTGGAGTTTTGGGAAAATAGATCTTGACATTTGGGAGTTGTAGTTGCGGGGATTTATAGTTCACCTTCCATCAAAGAGCATTCTGAACTCCACCAATGATGGAATTGAACCAAACTTGGCACACAGAACTCCCCTGAACAATAGAAAATACTGGAAGAGTTTGGTGGGCATTGATCTTGAGTTTGGGAGTTGTAGTTCACCTACATACAGAGAGCACTGTGGACTCAAACAAAGATGGAACTGGACCAAACTTGGCACGAATACTCAATATGCCCAAATGTGAACACAGGTGGAGTTTTGGGAAAATAGACCTTGACATTTGGGAGTTGTAGTTGCTGGGATTTATAGCTCACCTTCCATCAAAGAGCATTCTGAACTCTACCAATGATGGAATTGAACCAAACCTGAGACCCAATATACCCAAGGGTTTGGTGGGCATTGAACTTGAGTTTGGAGTTGTAGTTCACCTACATCCAGAGAGCACTGTGGACTCAAAACAATGATGGATCTGGACCAAACTTGTCATGAAAATCAATATGCCCAAGTGTGAACTCTGGTGGAGTTTGGGGAAAACAGACCTTGACATTGGAGAGTTGTAGTTGCTGGGATTTGTAACTCATCTACAATCAAAGACCATTCTGAACCCCACCAATGATAGAATTGGACCAGACTTCCCACACAGAACCCCCATGACCAACAGAAAATGCTAGCAACGCCTCTCACACTGCCGGTGACCCTTCCAGGGGTCCCGACCCTTAGGTTTGTTGGGCATTGACCTTGAGTATGGGAATTGTAGTTCCCCTACATCCATAAATCCCTGGATGTAGGTGAACAGTGATGGGCAAAAGGATGATAGCTGGGACTCACGCACGTGTTGCCCTAATTCAGACCCATGTTAAACAAGCAGCGTAGCGTAGGGTCCCAGCTATCATACTATTGCCCAGTGATGGATCTGGACCAAACTTGGCACAAAACTCAATATGTATGCCCAAGTGTGAATACCGGTGGAGTTTTGGGGAAATAGATCTTGACATTTGGGAGTTGTAGTTGCTGGGATTTATAGTTCACTACAATCAAAGAGCATTCTGAACCCACCAATGATAGAATTGGGCAAACTTCCCACACAGAACCCCCATGACCAACAGAAAATACTGTGTTTTCTGATGGTCTTTGGTGACCCCTCTGACATCCCTTCGCGACCCCCCCCCCCCAGGAGTCCCGACCCCCAGGTTGAGAAACACTGTTTGTGGAAGGTCCCACTTCCACAAACAGCTGTAGCTCCCACTACTCAGGAGATACCAAAGGCCCACCCTCCAATGACATTGCAGGTTATAGAGAGCATCATGAAGATGTCCATGAGTCCTGCCAATGTCCTTCACCAACACCACACTGCCCATCACCCAAGTCAAGGCTTTCATATGGGGAAAATTCCATCAAAGATTTTATGTGTTTCCTCCACCACGGGCATCCCAGTGTTCCTTACTCTCTCCCTTGGTGTGGAATTTGCATGACCCCACTCACTGCCTCTCCTATAGCCCTTTCCTACTCTTTTCTATGCCACACAACAGAGGAATTGATCAGCAACTGAACATACAAAAGAGGTTGGAGTTGTATTCATTCATAGGAGTTGTAGGTCCTGGGATGTATAGTTCACCTGTAGTCTAAGAGCACTCTCCACTCCACCAAAAATTCCATTGAATACTGGTGGGTTTTGAGGGGAATTGGCATGGACATTTAGGAGTTGTAGGTACTGGGATTTGTAGTTTACTTGCAATCAACTTAACCAAAGATGGAATTGGACCAAACTTGGCACACAGAGCCCCCACAACCAGCAAAAAATACTGGAGGTCTTTGGGGGGAAATCAACTTGATTTGTGGGAGTTGTAGTTCACCCACATCCAGAGAGCACTGTGAACCCAAACAATGATGGACCTGGGCCAAACTTGACATGCATTCATATGTGATATGCCTACATTGAAATACTGGAGGGGTTTTGGGGGTGGGGTGGGGTGGGGTGTGACCTTCCTTTCTGAGAGTTGTAGTTCATCCACAACCAGGAAAACCGACCTCCACTGATGATGGAACTGGACTCAACTTGATTTGGGGGAGTTGTATTTCACCCACATCCAGAGAGCACTGTGAATCCAAACAATGATGGATCTGGGCCATACCTGATATGCCTAAATTGGAATACTGGAGGGGTTTGGGGGGATGACTGACCTTCGTTTCTGGGAGTTGTAGTTCACCCACAACCAGGGAAACTCACCTCCACCGATGATGGACCTGGACTAAACTTGGCACACAGAGCCCTCATGACGAACTCAACCTACTGGAGGGGTTTGAGGGGACTGACTCACCATAGTGGGAGTTATAGTTTACCCTGCAACCAGAGAGGACAGGGAACCCCACCGATGATGCATCTAGAGCAAACTTACCCAACATAACAGACTTTAAGTATAGTTCACATGCAGTCTAAGAACTGCACTCTGAATTCCACCAGCGATGGACCTGGAACTCACTTGGTACACAGAACCCCCAGGACCAACTAAAATAATGGAGGTCTTTGGAAGGATTTATAGGAGTTGTAGTTCACCTACATCCAGCGTGCACTAGGAACCCAAACGATGGATCTGGACCAAACTTGGCATGCATACTCGATATGCCCAAATATGAATACTGGTGGGTTTGGAGAGGAATTGGCCTGGACATTTTGGAGTGGTAGCTCCTGGGATTTATAGTTCACCTGTAATCAATGAGCACTCTGAACTCCACCAAAAATGGAATTGGGCCACTTGGACATTTTGGGGTTGTAGCTACTGGGATTTATAGTTCACCTGTAATCAATGAGCACTCTGAACTCCACCAAAAATGGAATTGGACCACTTGGACATTTTGGGGTTGTAGCTACTGGGATTTATAGTTCACCTGTAATCAATGAGCACTCTGAACTCCACCAAAAATTGAATTGGATCAACTTGGCACACAAACCGTCATGACCAGCAAAAAAAATACCAAAGGGCTTTGGGGGAGCATTCACCTTGATTTGGGGGAGTTGTAGTTCATTTACATCCAGAGAGCTCTGTGAACTCAAACGACGATGGATCTGGACCACACTTGGCACACATGCCCAGTACTCCGAAATCTGAATGCTGGAGGGGTTTGGGAGAGACTGACCTTGATTTTTTGGGGGGGAGTTGTAGTTTACCTACAACCAGAGAAGGTATGAACCCCACTGACAATGGACCTGGATCAAACTTGGAATACAGAACCACAATGACTAGCTGAACATACTGGAGGGGTTTGGGGGGATCTGACCTTCATTTCTGGGAGTTGTAGTTCACCTACAGAGAAGGTGTAAACCTGGCAATGGACCTAGATCAAACTTGGTATACAGAACCACCATGGCTGGAGGGGTTTGGGGGAAACTGACCTTCATTTCTGGGAGTTGTAGTTCACCTACATCCAGAGAAACAGTGACCTGCACCGATGATGGACCTGGACCAAACTTGGCACATAGAACCGCCACGACTAACTCAACCTACTGGAGGGATATGACTCACCATAGTGGGAGTTGTAGTTTACCCTACAGCCAAAGAACATACTGAACTCTGGCAATGATGCATCTAGAGCAAACTTGCCCAGCATAACAAACTTTAACTAGTGATGGAGCTTCAAGGGGTTAACCTGGCATGATGGGAGTTGTAGTTCACCCACTTTCCTCTATCTAGCCAGCAGCCGAGGTCCTATGTTCCTGGGACATTATTAATAAGCACTCTTAATTGTTTAAGGAGAGCCCGTCGGCAATAAAAATGCAGAAATGGCCTTGGCTGCCAGCGCTTCTCCTTCCATTAGCGTTTCCTTAAGTGCAACGAATTACCGAGCAATTAAGGAGTCCATATTGTTCCTGGGTGACTTTCCTCAAAACCTCCCACACATCTCCTCCCTTTATCTCTTTAATTAAAAACAGACTTCGATACCAACCGTGCCATCTGTACACATCGAGGCAACGTTTTTGTTTAATCACAACAGTGTTCACCAGTTTTTAAAAAGAGTGTCGCGATCTGTAGCAAATCATTTCCGTGAAAAAATATATCCCAACATTAAATATCAAAAGTTTTCAAAGTTCACAGTGCGGAAAACGAAAGCGTCCATAAATTATTAAACAGAGCAGAATGGCCCAAAACACTGCTTGGGATCCACAGCCTTTGCCTGGCAAGTCCTGCCGAGAATTCGGATCTATGAAGGCAGGTTCACAGGCCAAGTGTGGTCGTCCGGATCTCCATTGATGTGATGGCCATCCTTGGAAACTCATGGCAACTTGCAGCATCTCCACATGTGGCAAAAATGGTGGAAATTCCTGGTGTTGCTTCTTGCGGAAGGAGCTTTGTCCCACCTGCTTTCATCCTAGCATGGCATCGGTTTCTCTTGGGTGGCACACACAGCATGGTGGGTCTCCACAAGCTTCTCCCCTAGAAGATATCTTGATGAGGGCCATAAGAGTCCTCATCACACTGAAAATTGTATTGGTGTTGCTTTTTGAGGAAGGAGCTTTGTCTCACCTGCTTTCATCCCAGCATGGCATCAGTCTCTCATGGGTGACATGCACAGCATGATGGGTCTCCATAAACTTCTCCCCAGAAGGTATCTTGATGAAGGCCATCACAGTCATCATGACAATGAAATGCTAGTGGTGTTGCTTCTTGAGGAAGGGGCTTTGTCCCACCTGCTTTCATCCTAGCATGGCTTCTGTCCTTCTTGGATGCTACACACAGCATGATGGGTCTCCACAAGTTTCTCCCCAGAAGGTATCTTGATGAAGGCCATCACAGTCATCATGACAATGAAATGGTAATGGTAATGCTTCTTGAGTAAGGAGCTTTGTGCCACCTGCTTTCATCCTAGCATGGCATCAGTCTCTCTTGGGTAGCACTCACAGCATGGTGGGTCTCCACAAGCTTCTCCCCAGAAGGTAGCTTGATGGGGGTTGCAAGAGTCATCATCACAATGAAATGATAATGGTGTTGCTCCTTGTGAAAGGAGATTTGTCCCACCCACTTTCATTCTAGCATGGCATCGGTCTCTCTTGGATAGCACACACAGCATGGTGGGTCTGCACAAGCTTCTCCCCAGAAGGTATCTTGATGAAGGCTTAGCATGACTTCAGTCTTTCTTGGGTGGTACATACAGCATGGTGGGTCTCCACAAGCTTATCCCCAGAAGGTATCTTGATGAGGGCCATAACAGTCATTATCACAATGATATTATAATGGTGTTGCTTCTTGAGGAAGGAGCTTTGTCCCATCCGCTTTCATCCGAGTGTGGCATCAGTCTCTCTTAGCTGGCATGCACAGCATGATGGGTCTCCATAAACTTCTTCCCATAAGTTATCTTGATGAAAGCCTAGCATGGCTTCAGTCTTTCATGGGTGGTACGCACAGCATGGTGGGTCTCCATAACTTCTCCCCAGAAGGTATCTTGATGAAGGCCATAATAGTCACCATCACAATGAAATTCTAGTGGTGTTGCTTCTTGAGGAAGGAGCTTTGTCCCACCTGCTTTCATCCTAGCATGGCGTCAGTCTCTCTTGGGTGGCGCACACAGCATGGTGGGTCTCCACAAGCTTCTCCCCAGAAGGTATCTTGATGAGGGTCATCACAATCATCATCACAATGAAATGATAATGGTGTTGCTTCTTGTGGAAGGAGCTTTGTCCCACCTGCTTTCATCCTAGCATGGCATCAGTCTCTCTTGGGTGGCATGCACAGCATGATGGGCCTCCACAAGCTTCTCCCCAGAAGGTATCTTGATGAGGGCCATAAGAGTCATCATCACCATGAAATGCGAATGGGTTTAGGTCCCATGCAGGCAGGTAGAACATTTCTCTGCATGACACAGGGAGCAGTGCCAGCGTCCCAGATAGTGGAGAGTGGACACTTCCAGTCCTTCTGTGACCAGTCTGAGGCTTGCCAAGGCATGGTGCCCCATTTGCTGCCATCACTGTAGGTAGCAGGAGGATGACTCTAGCATACGCACGAGCCAGCTTTAGCCCTCCAGGTGTTTTGGACTTCAACTCCCACAATTCCTAACAGCCTACTGGCTGTTAGGAATTGTGGGAGTTGAAGTCCAAAACACCTGGAGGGCTAAAGTTGGCCCATGCCTGCTTTGCAGAAGCAAGACTCCAGGAGGAAGCAAGGTGGTGAGCTTGAGAACTCACTAGCAAAGGAGGGGTTCACAACTAGCCAGTCCATTGGAGTGGTCTTGTTATTGGTTAGAGAATTAATACTGACTGAAGCAACTTGTTTACAAGGCACTGTAGGCCACCTCTCTGCAGGTCCTCCACGTTGCAGCTGAGTGGGTTCGTAAGCGCAGCCAATGCTCACCCCAGTGGGAAGGGAGGACCACAGCTGTCCTGTGGGAAGCCAAAAACTTCCTGGGCCAGTCTGCTTTGGAGCCGTAGCCTGTACTCACTAGTCCAAGCACAAATGTGCCCACTCCGGCCTTCACCATCCGAGGGTGTCCTACCTGATGGCCAGCACACTGCTTCTGAACCGGCGCTGAGCCTCTTCCTGTAAACAGATGAGCGACCCTGGCACTTGGACCCCCTTCTCTGCAAACAGAGCACTGAACCTCTGTCCCTGGAATGCGCCCCTTTGTGTCCCCGTTGCTGGCTCAGCATTTCCCGCACGACTGTTGTCACAATGGAAAAGACCCACGGAGCAATGGCAACTCTAAGCCTCCACACTCCAAGCGCAGATTGGACGAAACGGTCTCTTTCGAGTCGGGGTCTCGGGGTCCTTGGACGTTCAGATCAGCCGCTCCAACGGTGGCAACTTGATGACGTTCCACATCTCCACGCGCGCCCCGTCCTTCTCCTGGCGGCTGGGGCTGTAGGTGCCTTGGGTGGCCCTCCTCTTCTTCATGGCCACGATGGAGATGCCGAAGATGGCCACAAGCACAGCCGCTCCGGCCGCTCCCACGGCTCCCACCAGGGTGGAGCTGCTGACTTGGGCCCAGGCTGGTCGCTGCGGTGGAACAAGAAGTTACTGACCTCTCAGGACAGACAGCGGCTCAGGCCGCAAGGCACGCTCTCATCCCACTAAGGAGTACCCACAGATAGAAAATCAGTCAAGGAGATTAAAGGATGCTATTTGGCACGGGAGCAGCAGTGCCGCTGGCTGTTAAGACCTTCTATGTTCAAGTGGTGGAAGCAAGTGAGAGCAGACGTGGCTTCTCTGTCCACCTCAGGCTTCCTCAAGGGGCCAGGAACCACCCTCCTGTGGCCATTTCCCCTCCCCTGGTGGGCCACTGAATGAGAACAAGGCCCCTCGACAAATGACAGAATCGTCCACCCCAGATTGAGGGGCTGCTTCATAAAAGGAAATGTCTGTACACATGTTTCCAGGGGATTCTCTAACTGGGAGGCAGGGTCATCCATGCTGTTGCTGTTGGAAGGTGGCCTTAGGAAAACGGTCAAGCCAAGGCAGCCCAACCTGCGGCCCGTTAAAGCAGTGTTTCCAAAGACATGTTGAGGGGCGGCTGGGGTGGGTTGGGTTTGGGGGCTGCCTATCTAACTGAGGAAGGGCTGCAGCTACGTCCAAGGGCAAGGGTGGCCCGGCCACTCAAATGTGCTTGCGTCACCACTGCTCTCCTCGGCCTTTGGAAGGAGCTTGGCAAGGCGAGCGAGAGCAGCGCGCAGCCTGAGACCGAAGTCCAGCGTTTCAGCGCAGGCTCTGCGAAGGCACTTCCTTGCCTCCCTTGGGCCGTGCCTATATCAAGCGCTCCTCCGGCGGCACCTTTAAGACACTGTCCATCTCCAGCCGGGCTCCGGCCACCTCCTGCTGGCTTGGGCTGTAGGTCCCTTCGGACTGGCGCCTCTTCCGGGCCGTGAGAATCATAAGGACGAGGATAATAATGAGTAGCAGCAAGCAACCGCAGGCCACAGGCACGGCTACTTCAATTAATGGGAACGGGAAGAGAGCGCCCGGGAGAGTCCCTCTCTGCAAGAGAAATTAACGGAGAAACAATGAGTCCCAACTGGAGCGCTGCGTGGCGGGAAGGAGGGGCGACATGCTGCCCCCAGTGAAGTGTTAAAGGCAGGCAAAGGAGGAGGAGAAGGAGGAGCAAAGGGCGGGCCAACACTTCCTTCCGAAGAAGGCAGCGCAAGAGACTGAACTTCCATCGGCACCGAGGCAGGCACGCTGCCTTCTCCTTGACTAAAGGCACCATCCAAGCTAGACCAGCAGCTCCCAAAGAGACAACCTGTGCCTCAAGGGGAAAGGGGGCCCATCCAGACAGTACCTTTATCCCAGGAGCTTCCGCAGAAAACAGGAGGGTGGCCAGATGCCATTCCCTGTAAACTCAGAAGCAATAGCTACAAACAGCAAAAACCGCGAGATTTCCAGGTGCAGGAATATCGCAGTTTTGAGCCGAATATGTGGATCTTCACATGTCTGTAATAATGGGATTCACGGGATTTTTTTATCTAGGTTTGTTCCCGGGTTTTAGATGTTTGTTCCTGATTGGTCGGTTCCTAAAAAGAAAGTGACACTTGACAAGAAGGCAAAAACTTTGTTTGTGTGCCAGAAATATTATGAAACGTGTGGAGGACACATTTTTTTCTGGCCAGGACAAAGTCAACATTGTACATCTTTGGACAAGGAGATCAATCAGTAACAGCCATGCATAGCCCAGAAACAGCACCCTGTTGTTTGATGCCACGAGTACACCGGTCAAATATGTCTGGGCAGAAGGCCAGACAGCCAGTCTCTAAAAAGTGTCAATAACGACAAAGTTCTGTTCCTGGCTTGAAAGTGTGTGTTCCTGTTTGTGTGCCAGAACATTTATGAAACATGTGAGGGCACATTTTCTCTGGCCAGGACAAAGCCAACATTGTACATCTTTGGGCAAGATCAATCAGGAACAGCCATGTATAACCCAGGAACAGCACCCTGTTGTTTGATGCCACAAGTACACCGATCAAATATGTCTGGGCAGAAGGCCAGGCARCCAGGCTCTAAAAAGTGTCAATAATGACAAAGTTCTGTTCCTGGCTTGAAGGTGTGTGTTCCTGATTGATTGTGCAATGCTAACTTGGGCAGAAGTGGTCCTACCCTGCAAACTTTGTGTGACAGATATTTCATGAAATGTCTAGAGGGCACAGTTTCTCTGGCCAGGACAATAAACAGACCTTTTGCAGTGATTCGCATATCCGAATCTCTGCATATCTGCATCTTAAAGTTTAAAAAAACCACTAAAGTTTCCGGCGGAAGTCCCGTGGTGGCCATCTTGGAAGCCTCTAAATCTCGCAACAAAGCAAATCTGGACAACGGAAGCAGAAATCCCAAGACCAACAGGTCTGTATGTAGACCTCTTTTGAAGTCCCGGGATTTTTTGCCTCTGTAATTTAGCGCTGTCTGGAAGCGCCCTGGGTGGCTGCAAGTGCAAAATGGTGGACACAGAAGTGTTGAGGGTAGCTGGAATGATGGCAGAAGCCCAACCAAGGCGTGTCCCTGACTAGGAGACAGAAACCCAACCAAGCAAGTGCCTGGTGCCCCGAGGAGAGGGCTGAGTTCCTCTACCCCAACTGGAGAGCCTTGCTTGCAGGATCCCTCGGCAGCACCACCACCAAGGCTGATGCTCAGAGCTTACTTCCAGGAGCTGATTGGGGACATGCGATTAGTGTAAGCCTTACTAAAAACAGCGACGCGCACAGGCTCAGCGGTTAAGATGCCTGTCAGCCAAGCGCTGTTACCTTGCCAAAGAGAAGCTGGGGGCGGGGATTTATAAGCAGGTAATTGGGTGGAATCCGAGCTCTAAATCCTGGCAATTGGATGCTATTAGGGACGGTGTTGAACTGGAGCAGGGCTTGCCTAGGGAGCCCTTTGGAGCAAGAGGCCGCAGCCTGGTTGCAGTCTTTGGAAAGAGAGCTGCAGGTAGAGCATGATCTTGGCCAGGCGCATGACAAGGGTTGGGCACCTTCCGGCAGGTGTGCCCGTTCGGTTTCAGGAAGTCCTGTGCCAAAAGGAGTGCAGGTGGAGCCAGCTTATCAAAGAGGAGGAGGTGGACCTCTTCAGAACAAGACATTAGTTGTGGCCTCACGATGGATGAATGAAAGAGAAGAAGGAGTGGAGCAAGCACTATGGAGGGGAATCGGCACCAAGGAGCACCAGCTTCTGTTTTGGGCACTGCCTTGGGCTCAAGCATGCAAAGGAGGTGTTTAGACGTGTCCCGCAAGACGCAACCATGCAACAGCAACAGCGATGGTGAGCCTGCCTCCCATCCCAACGTGAGCCTTGGATGGAGAGGGAGGGGTTCATGCAGCTAAGGTTAGTATGTCCCCAACACCAGCACCCACATGCAGTCTCGTGAAGGAAGAGGAGGGGGGCAGCCCCCAAAAGACACCATCTGGACTTAGCAAATGGGCCCGTTCCCACCCTACACCTCTTTCCCTGCTTGTCTTGTTTTGAAGACTTTTGCCCTTCTCCCTTATGCTTACTCTTTTGACAAACACCCCCATGCTTCTGGTATAAAACAGTTTCTGAATTCAACCCCCCCCCCCCCCAAAAAAAAGCCCACCCACCAAACATTAAACACAAAGGTAAAGGTGTTCCCCTGACATTAAGTCTAGTCATGTCCAACTCTGGGACTCTAATGCTCATCATCTCCGTTTCCAAGCCGAAGAGCCAGCATTGTCCATAGACATCTCCTAGGCCATGTGGCCACTGGCATGACTGTATGGACTGCCATTACTTTCCTGCTGAAGTGGTTCTTATTGATCTATTCACATTTGCACAAACTGCTAGGTTGGCAGAAGCTGGGGCTAACAGTGGGAGCTCACTGACTCTGGGACTCTGGTGCTCATCTCCATTTCCAAGCCGAAGAGCCGGCATTGTCCGTAGACACCTCCAAGATCATGTGGCCACTGGCATGACTGTATGGACTGCCATTACTTTCCTGCTGAAGCGGTTCTTATTGATCTATTCACATTTGCACAAACTGCTAGGTTGGCAGAAGCTAGGGCTAACAGTGGGAGCTCACTGACTCTGGGACTCTGGTGCTCATCTCCATTTCCAAGCTGGAGAGCCGGCGTTGTCCGTAGACACCTCCAAGGTCATGTGGCCACTGGCATGACTGTATGGACTGCCATTACTTTCCTGCTGAAGCGGTTCCTATTGATCTACTCACATTTGCACGAACTGCTAGGTTGGCAGGAGCTGGGGCTAACAGTGGTAGCTCACTGACTCTGGGACTCTGGTGCTCATCTCCATTTCCAAGCCGGAGAGCCGGCGTTGTCTGTAGATACCTCCAAGGTCAAGTGGCCACTGGCATGACTGTATGGAGTGCCATTACTTTCTTATTGATCTATTCACATTTGCACGAACTGCTAGGTTGGCAGGAGCTGGGGCTAACAATGGGAGCTCACCCTGCTAGCGGATTCGAACCACTGACCTTCCGATCCACAAGTTCTGCAGCTCAGCGGTTTAACCCGCTGTGCCAATATTGCTTGGGGAATATTTGTTGAAATTGCTTGACACAACACTCCATTCATGTAAGAATTGGAGTAAGAGTTCTAATGCACCCATCCTGGCGGGGACCTCTATTACACCAAGAAGGGTTGAGAAGCCATTCTTTTCTATTGCTGTCTCTCAGCCAAAGGCTGACACTGACTCCCCTCGTAAGCCTCACAACAAAAGCCTGATGCCACTACTACGCTAATACGAACGGCCCGCTTACATCAACATCGCAGCGCTCTCCAGTGTAGCTGGCGCTGCACAGACACCGGTACCGGTTCACCGAATCCTGGCAGGTGCCTCCATTCTGGCAGGGGTTGGGGTCGCAGTCGTTGATGTTGATCTGGCATCTGGAAAGGAAAGAAGAGCCCGTCAGGCACAGCCCTCAAGGGAAAGAGATGGCGACACAGCCTGGTCCACTTAGGCATCTGGGACTAAATAATAATACGGTAGAGTCGCGCTTATCCGACATAAACGGGCCGGCAGAACATCAGATAAACGAAAATGTCAGATAATACGGAGTCTCCTACTGCTACCCGTCCGACACCTAGAATACTAACAACAGGGACTCAAAGGATGAAAGCAAGGTCACACTTCGGGGCTAGAGCGGCCCAGCAGGAAGTGCCCGGATGCGGATGAGAAGCATGGAAATCACAAAGGGAAGGAGGGAGGATGCTTCCGCTTCTGGTTCTGCCTCTTTTCCCCTTCCCTCCTTCCTTCTTCCTCCTCCTTGTCTTGCCCTTTCCACTTATTGGGAATGGAGAGAGAGTTGGGGAGCTCTCCTTCGATTGAAGGAGAAATGCTGATGAAAAAGGGGAGCAGTGGATAAGAGCGTTGGATAAGACAGAATGTCAGATAAGTGAAGGTCGGATAAGTGAGACTCGATTGGGAATGGAGGGAGAGTTGGAAAGCGCTTCTTCAATTGAAGGGGAAATGCTGGAGGAAAAGGGAGCGTTGGATAAGACAGAATGTCGGATAAGTGAAGGTCAGATAAGCGAGATGCTGCTGTATTGGGCATGGAGGGAGAGTTAGGGAACACTCCCTGAACTGAAGGGGAAACACTGGAGGAAAAGGGGAACGTTGGATAAGACAAAATGTCGGATAAGCAAAGATCGGATAAGTGAGACTCGATCGGAAATGGAAACAGAGTTGGAGAGCGCTCCTTCAATTGAAGGGGAAATGCTGGAGGAAAAGGGAGCTTCGGATAAGATAGAATGTCGGATAAGCGAAGGTCAGATAAGCGAGATGCTGCTGTATTGGGCATGGAGGGAGAGTTAGGGAACATTCCTTGAATTGAAGGGGAAACACTGGAGGAAAAGGGGGACATTGGATAAGACAGAATGTCGGATAAGCGAAGGTCAGATAAGCGAGACGCTGCGGTATTGGGCATGGAGGGAGAGTTAGGGAACATTCCTTGAATTGAAGGGGAAACACTGGAGGAAAAGGGGGACGTTGGATAAGACAGAATGTCGGATAAGCAAAGGTCGGATAAGCAAGACTCAACGGGAATGGAAAGAGAGTTGGAGAGCGCTTCTTCAATTGAAGGGGAAACACTGGAGGAAAGGGGGGTGTCGGATAAGACGGAATGTCGGATAAGGTTGGATAAGCGAGGCTCTATTGTATTGGGAATGGAGAGTTGGTGAGCACTCCTTCAATTGAAGGGGAAATGCTGGAGGAAAAGGGGGCCTCATAAGATGGAATGTCGGATAAGCGAAGGTTGGATAAGTGAGACTCTACTTTAGTAGTAGTAATAATAAAGACCTTGGCCTGCACTTAAAAACAATTGGTGCTGACCATATGACCACCTCTCAGCTGCAAAAGGCCACCCTGCTCGGATCTTTGCACATTATCCGCTGATACGTCACACAGTCCTAGGCACTTGGGCAGTATCCGGCATGTGATCCAGTACAAAAGTCAACAAAGTGATCTTGTTTACTGTGTACTCATTTTGTTGTGTATCCAATAAAAACAACAACAATAAATCTAGGAGAAGACTGTCTGTCACCAGCAGCAGCCTTGTAGAAAGCTTTGGAGAACAGAGCCTGTTCGGAGATAGCCAGGAATGTTGCAAACAAGCAAAAAGTATTCCTTGCTGAAGTCAAAAGTATTCCTTACCCTAGCTCAGGCATGGGCCAACTTTGGCCCTCCCTCCAGGTGTTTTGGACTTCAACTCCCACCATTCCTAACAGTCTCAGGTCCTTTCCTTTCCCCAAAGTTGGCCCATACCTTCATCCTCTTGGAACTGGACAATCAAGGGGTCATCTGCATACCCATGTTATGGGAGTTGGAGTCCAAAACACCTGGAGGGAGGGCCAAAGTTGGCCCATGCCTTTGTCCTCTTGGAACTGGACACTTCGGTCCATCAAGGGGTCCTCTGCATACCCACGTTGTGGGAGTTGGAGTCCAAAACACCTGGAGGGAGGGCCCAAGTTGGCCCATGCCTTTGTCCTCTTGGAACTGGACACGTCAGTCAGTCAAAGGATCATCTGCATACCCACATTGTGGGAGTTGGAGTCCAAAACACCTGGAGAGAGGGCCCAAGTTGGCCCATGCCTTTGTCCTCTTGGGACTGRAYACTTCAGTCCATCAAGGGGTCATCTGCATACCCACGTTATGGGAGTTGGAGTCCAAAACACCTGGAGRGAGGGCCCAAGTTGGCCCATGCCTTTGTCCTCTTGGGAYTGGACACTTCAGTCCATCAAGGGGTCATCTGCATACCCACGTTATGGGAGTTGGAGTCCAAAACACCTGGAGGGAGGGCCCAAGTTGGCCCATGCCTTTGTCCTCTTGGGATTGGACACTTCAGTCCATCAAGGGGTCATCTGCATACCCACGTTATGGGAGTTGGAGTCCAAAACACCTGGAGGGAGGGCCCAAGTTGGCCCAAGCCTGCTGTAGCTGGATGAGTTGCTAACTAAACCCTGAAATGAAAGCTTCTCTTGGGAGCAATGCCAAGCGCAGGCACCAAGAGCAACGCCAACAAAACCATTCCCGAGTGCAATGCTTGCTCCAAAAGCCAACCCAAGTCCCTGGCTGCTTTGGAGGAGAAGACGACAGACCCAAGGGGCTTCAGACGTACTTTCTTCCCGTGTAGCCTGGCTTGCAGGTGCAGTTGGCTCCCCAGGGCCCGCTGATGCATTTGCCCCCGTTCAGGCAGGTGAAGTTCTTGCCACATTCTTCAGGAGGGAACGGCCACCTGGGAACGACAGAGAGTGAAACAAAATAAGAATGTGGACCATTTCCTAGGTGTGGTACAAAAATCGGTACTGTACAGTGGTCTCTGGTTCAACGGGCATGACAACAAGAGGAATCTTAAGCAGACTCAGAAGCTGATGGAATCATAATCTCATGGAAGATGGCTCCAGAGGCCCTTCTGGGATATGAGGAGCCACCACACTTGTTCTTGCTCAAGCTGGGTCTGACAAGGTCCCATCCAGATACAAGGACTGATGTCCAAGATATGTCTTTGGCACTGAGATGAGATGATGCGCAAGGCATGTGTTGCAGGAGGAGAGCCAAGCACAAGCACCTGCCTCATGCTAAGGTCAAACTATACATCTAGCTCAGCATAGCCACTCTGGACTTTGCAGTCACTTGTTCAGCATCACTTGCCATGCCGTTTTCTTGGGGATCATGTCTGTGAATTTTCATGAGTCTCACAGAGGCTCATGAAATAATAATAATAATAATAATAATAATAATAATAATAATAATAATCCTCAGTTCTTGTGGGTTTTTCGGGCTATATGGCCATGTTCTAGAGCCATTTCTCCTGACGTTTCGCCTGCATCTATGGCAAGCATCCTCAGAGGTAGTGAGGTCTGTTGGAAATGGGGAAAAAAGGGTTTATATATCTGTGGAATGACCAGGGTGAGACAAAGGGCTTTTGTAAGTTGGGCTAGGTGTGGATCTTTCAACTGCCCACCTTGATTGGCATACAATGGGCTGACTGTGCCTGGAGCAAACTCTTCTTGAAAGGTGATTAGATGTCCCTGCCTGTTTTTCTCCCTGCTGTTTTAATTTTAGAATTTTTTAATATTGGTAGCCAGATTTTGTTCATTTTCATGGTTTCTTCCTTTCTGCTGAAATTGTCCACATGTTTGTGGATTTCAATGGCTTCTCTGTGTAGCCTGACATGGTGGTTGTGAGAGTGGTCCAGCATTTTTGTGTTCTCAAATAAAATGCTGTGTCTGGGTTGGTTCCTCAGGTGCTCTGCTCTGGCTGATTTCTCTGGTTGGAATAGTCTGCAGTGCCTTTCATGTTCCTTGATGCGTGTCTGGGCCATGCTGCGTTTGGTGGTCCCTATGGTGGACAAGTCTACATAGGGACCACCAAACGCAGCCTTCGACAATACAATAATAATAATAATAATAATAATAATAATAATACTATGGATTGTCGATGTTGCAATCCCAGGTCACAGCAGGATTGAAGAGCAGCAACTGGAAAAAGCGGAAATGACAGGATTTAAAGATCGAACTGCAAAGACTCTGGCACAAGCCAGTCAAGGGGATCGGCAGACTGGGTGCAGTGCCTCAAGTCCTTGGCCTGCACTTAAACACAATCGGCACGGACAACATTACCATCTGTCAACTGCAGAACGCAACCTTACTGGGATCTGCACGCATCATTCGCCAATGGATCACATAGTCCTAGATACTTGGGAAGGGTCCTACATGTGATCCAATACAACAGCCAGCAGAGTGATTTTGTCTGCTGTGGACTCCCCCCCCCCCCCCCCCCATTGGCCCTCTTGGCTACATACAGCATCCCTGTCTGGGCACTCACTCGCAGAAGGGTCCGGTGAACTGTGGTGGACACTTGCAGGAGTAGCTGTAGACTTCGTCGATGCAGGTGGCTCCGTTCTGGCACTTGTGCCTCACGCAGTCGTCCACGTTGATCTGGCAGCGCTTCCCGATGTATCCCTTGTGGCAATCGCACTGGAAGTCCCCCACCTCGTCCATGCACTCCCCGTGAATACAGGGGTCGGGGGTGCAGTCGTCGATGTTGGCCTCGCAAAGCGGGCCCTCCCACCCAGGGCCGCAGGCACAGCTGAAGGCGTTGAAGAGGTCCTGGCAGGAGCCACCGTGGCGGCACGGGCCGGAGGAACAGACGTCCACTCCTTTGCAGCCGAGGAGGGTCTCCCCACTCTGCATGCGCAGGAACTGCTCGGGCTGCGGGTAACTGATGGGGACGGCCAGGGGCAGAAGCACCCCGCCGATGTCTGCGTGCCCAAGGCAGCCAGTGAAGTTCTCACCCAGAACGATCACTGTCTTGCTTCTCAGGAAGTCCAGATTCCCAGCATTCCCCTCGAGGGTGGCATTCGCGGACTGGTCCAAACGGAGGTGCCACCTTGACGAGAGGGCCAGGGGGTCTTCCATGGAGAGCGTGAGCGTGTGCCAAGAACCATCGGAGACGGACACCTCGCTCAGGAAATTGGCTCCCTCCACGCCGTTCCCGCTCCTGATCTCCACCAAGAGGGAGGAGTTCTGGACGGCCACCACGAGAGAGTCCACCTCTTCCGCCGCCCGGAGCAAAACGGCGTCTTCGTCCCGTGTCCTGAAGTCCAAGCACAGGCTGTGGAGAGCTCTGGCAATGGTGGCATTGGCGGTGAACTCAACAGCATTGTGCTCAAGGAAGGTGACGCTAGCCAGACCTGGGGATGAAAAAGACAGTCAGTGCATTTAGTTAGCACGGAGCCTCCAGAGAAAAGAGAAGACCCTTTGCCACCTGCAAGCTGAGTCTGAGGGAAGTCCCAATGCTTACTTTCCCAGAGGACTGTCCAAACACTATGTGAGAAGGTAGGAGCCATGCCCTCAAAGATGCGACTGGGGGTAGGTAAGGAGTTCAGCACCCTACTTTACCCTAACTATAGATTGTTTCTGTGAAAGTGCAGGTCATGACGCGGAACAATGGCTTCAAACTACAAGAGAGGAGATTCCACCTGAACATGAGGAAGAACTTCCTGACTGTGAGAGCCGTTCAGCAGTGGAACTCTCTGCCCCGGAGGGAGTGTGGTGGAGGCTCCTTCTTTGGAAGCTTTGAAACAGAGGCTGGGTGGCCATCTGTCAAGGGTGCTTTGAATGCAATATTCCTGCTTCTTGGCAGAATGGGGTTGGACTGGAGGATGGCCCAGGAGGTCTCTTCCAACTCTATGATTCTATGTATGTGGAAGGACATAGAAACCATGGAGAATGTTCAATGCATGTGCATGAGTTCCCTTGGAGCCTCCCAACCCAATGCAAGCCAACTCTTCTTTTGCATTTGGCATCACAATGGAAGAGGGACCCTCTCCTGCGCTACAGCTTTTGGGGAGCAAAAGGACAGGGCCTCACCTATCCTGAGACCCAGTTTGACCCCATACATTAAAGGCCAGGCTTGTGTGAACCCAGAGATCCCGAAGAGAGACTTACAGACAAAGCCAAAGGCAACATCGATGCAAGTGGTGGCTTGTGGGCACGGATCGCTTTTGCACCAGATCCTCTCCTCACAGCGTTTCCCGGTGAAGTTGGCCGGGCAGCTGCAGTTGAAGTCATTCCAGGTGACGGCACAGTGTCCCCCGTTCAGGCATGGCCCAGGCTGAAAGGCAGAAAGGGGGTCAAGGAAGGAAGGGCCAGGATCCTTACCATGAAGGAGAATCGGAGAGGCATGCAGTTGCTGGAGGTCTGGTGAGTAAGAGGCTGGTTGGTTTAAAGGAGACTGAAGAACTGGGTTCAGGACATGCCATCAGATAGGGAATGGTGGCCTGCGGAGCTAAAGAACTGAGCCTCCAACCTCGCAGAAGGCCAACCTTCTCCTGGCTTCTCTGTTTGGCTTTTCTTGCTGTTCTCACTTTCACATTTCCTCCTCTAGCTGTCAGGAGTAGGTATTTTCTTCTAGAGCAGGCATGGGCAAACTTCGACCCTCCCTCCAGTTGTTTTGGACTTGAGCTTCCACAATTTCTAATAGCCTCAGGACCTCAGGAAGGGGACTGAGGCTGTTAGGAATTGTGGGAGTTGAAGTCCAAAACACCTGGAGGGAGGTCTGAAGTTGGCCCATGCCATTGTCCTCTTGGAACTGGACACTTCAGTCAGTCAAGGGGTCATCTGCATACCCACGTTGTGGGAGTCAAGGGATCATCTGCATACCCACGTTGCTTTCAGTCAATCAAGGGATCATCTGCATACCCACATCGTGGGAGTCAAGGGATCATCTGCATACCCACGTTGCTTTCAGTCAATCAAGGGATCATCTGCATACCCACGTTGTGGGAGTCTATCAAGGGATCATCTGCATACCCACATCGTGGGAGTCAAGGGATCATCTGCATACCCATATTGTGTTGAGTCAATCAAGGGATCATCTGCATACTCACATTGTGGTAGTCTATCAAGGGATTATCTGCATACCCATGTTGTGGGAGTCAATCAAGGAATCATCTGCATACCCACATTATGGGAGTCTGTCAAGGAATCATCTGCATACCCACATTGTGGGAATCAAGGGATCATCTGCATACCCACATGGTGGGAGTCTATCAAGGAATCATCTGCATACCCACGTTGTGGGAGCCAATCAAGGGATCATCTGCATACCCACATTGTGGGAGTCAAGGGATCATCTGCATGCCCACTTTGTGGGAGTCTTACCAATGAATCATCTGCATACTCATGTTGTGGGAGTCTATCAAGGGATCATCTGCATAACCACGTTATGGGAGTCTTATCAATGAATCATCTGCATACCCACGTTGTGGGAGCCAATCAAGGGATCGTCTGCATACCCACATTGCGAGAAGTCCAAAATACCTGGAGGGCCCAAGTTCGCTCCTCCACATATTAAGGCCGTCATACAGAATGCACAAGTGACACAGCTCCCTATGTGTTGCCATGAGAAGAACCAGTAGGAGCAGAACATGGTTCCTGCTCCTATGTGGACGTGTTGATATGTTAGGCTCCTGAACGGCACCACGTGCATTTCCAGGTTTTTTCAAGGAGGTCTTGCTGCAGGAGTCGCCCAAACCCAAATGGGCCAGCCCATAACATGACAGGAGAGAAAGGTTGCAACGCATGCAGGGGGCTATGAGGGTTCCACAGAAGATGCTCTTCTGCAGGCAAGGGAGGAAGGCCAGAGGCTGCATGGAAGCAGAGCATGCTGCAGACAGAAAACAGGCAAACGACAGTCCATACCCCACTTGGCTGGGTAGTGTCCTTAGTTCTGCCCGCCCGATGACTGCTCCTTCGGTAGCGTGGGGAGAAGAACACAGCAAGGAAATGCTGGCAACGTGAGCTTCTAGGCTAATCCCATTAATCCCACAGCATTAGCCCTTATCCCGTGCCAGAGGGCAATACTGAGGCGGAAGTGGCCAAGCCCCACAACTGCCACTACATTTCCTTTTGGGGAGCTTTGGGAGATCCCGGGGCAGAGGGAGATGGCGGCTGAGAAGACCAGCCGCCCATGAGACACGGCACTCCTCTCAGAGGCAGATCTCATCCCAAAAGAAGGGACTGAATATGGGTCAAGGAGCAGAGTGGCCGTTCTGTGGGCTCCCCATCTGAATCCAGTCGTTTCCTGTCCCTTGCAACTGCTCTGTTTCCCAGAAGAGTAGAAAGACCAAGCCAAACCCTCTCTAAAGAGGAGCATGTGAGTATGGAACTTTTGGGCAAAGCAAACCAGCCATACAATCCCAATTACGTATTCCTATAGAAAGCAAGAAGGATGGTTGGTTCTGTCTTGTAGGCTTTTGAAACGTGAGTGGCCATCACTGGTCTAGGTAGACTTGACCCAGCATGGGAGTCCCTCCCACTCTTAAGCTCACAACTCATCCAGAACTCAATCTAGGCTCAGCTGGAGAACCTTCAGAATGCCCCTTACCTTGCAGGTATCATCGGAGATGCATCCCAGGCCAACGCTGGTGACCTGTCCCAGGTGCACCTCTGGCGAAACGCTCCTGTTTGGGTCTAAATGGGGGAAGAACTCCATCTGGTGGTGATTGAGCTGGACATCTTGAAGGCAGCCTTTAAAATGGCCTCCCCATGGGCTGGTGCCATCTGCGTCCTGGAGTCCACCCACATGAATCTCAAGGCCAGCAGTGAGAGGAGTCATCAACAGAGGTCCCAGCTCCTCCTCTGTGTTCAACAGGCTGGAATACACAACACCGTCAAGGAAGGAGAGCATCACAAAGTGTCTCAGGCCATCAGCCAGGTGTCCAGGTGGACCAATGGGAGCAACCGCTGGCACCTCCACCTGGAGCTTTCCATCCTTCAGGTACACAGTTAGGAAAGGATCGCTCCCATTGCTGATTTGGACGACCAAACCGCTAGGCTTCAGAGTTCGGATGAAAAAGGAAAGGTTAAAGTTTGCTCCAGGGTTGTTGTGAATCACAAAAGTAGCCACACTCGAGGAGTTGTCTTGCCCAAATGTTGCTGCAGGAGACTCTGGAAGAGGAGGAAATGCATGTTAGGTCTAAACTGAAGGGTCCATGCTCCTCTGAGGATACTAAGCTGGCCTTCATTCTCTCATCCCTCCAGGATAGCCCTGTTGGTCAAAAGCAGTGGTTCCCACCCCGTGGTCCATGGACCACCAGTGGTCTGAAAGCACTAAAATATGGTCCGTGGTCTCACTGTTACTACACCATTGCAACGAGAGCAACTGGTCTCACAAAACCCTCTTATAGTGCCAAGGCTTATTAAATAGGGTTTTCTGTGGGCGAGCAGATGGCAACTACTGGAAACTAGAACTGATGTGGTCTTCCAATGCAGTTTTCTGAATCAGCACCCCAAATAACCAAACCCAATCTAAAGTTGATGAAAAACTGATTTGTAATCCTTTTGGTACTAATGTTGGAGAGTGGTTCCTGGTCAAAGTGGTCCCTGGTCAAGTAGTTTCTGGTCAAAGTGGTCCCTGGTCAAAGTAGCCCCTGGTCAAAGTATCAACTGGTCCCTGGTCAAATTGGTCCCTGGTCAAAGTGGTCCCTAGTCAAGTAGTTTCTGGTCAAAGTGGCCCCTGGTCAAAATGGTTCCTAGTCAAGTAGTTTCTGGTCAAATTGGTCCCTGGTCAAGTGKTCCCTGGTCAAAGTGGTCCTTAGTCAAGTAGTTTCTGGTCAAAGTGGTCCCTGGTCAAAATGGTTCCTAGTCAAGTAGTTTCTGGTTAAAGTAGACCCTGGTGAAGTAGTCCCTGGTCAAAATGATTCCTAGTCAAGTAGTTTCTGGTGAAGTGGTCCCTGGTCAAAGTGGTCCCTAGTCAAGTAGTTTCTGGTCAAAGTGGTCCCTGGTCAAAATGGTTCCTAGTCAAGTAGTTTCTGGTGAAGTGGTCCCTGGTGAAGTGGTCCCTGGTCAAGTAGTTTCTGGTGAAGTGGTCCCTGGTCAAAGTGGTCTCTAGTCAAGTAGTTTCTTGTCAAGGTGGTCCCTGGTCAACTGATTCCTGGTGAAGTGGTCCCTAGTCAAATGGTTTTTGGTCAAAGTGGTTCCTAGTCAAGTGATCCCTGGTCAAAAAAAGGTTGGGAACCATTGGTCAAAAGGGACCAGACCCTTGAAGAGCCATGACACTTGGGCTCTGGCTGCATTTGGGGCCGTCCCATCCATAGAGGCTATAACCTGTAATATGCCTGTCCAGCTAAATCCCACCTTATGTATTGATCTCTTGATTATCCTGATGGGGACCAAAGGAACCAAGATCATTTCCTCCCTAGCACTTCAAGACCGAGCATGGGAATGATGGACGAACTCTGCCCAGCACCCTAATATTACCTTCCCCAAGGCTCAGTGTCGTGGATACTCACCATAGGAGCACGTGCGGCCTTCATACGGCCGAGGACAGTGACAGCGAAAGTCCGCCCAGAGATCAATGCACTGGCCGCCATGTAAACAAGGATCAGAGAGACACCACTCCGTCCTCTCGCAGCCCAGCCGGAAGCCGGAGGATTGGAGTCCAGCCACTTCCTGTGGTAGGACCACCCTGGAATCAATCCACAAGTCTTCGAGGCAACCAATGAAATTCTGGGTAGGGTTGGCCATTAATTTCTCTTCAACTCCCCCGATATATATCTGCAAAAGGGAGGGCAGGGAGGAAGCCAGGGACGTCTCTTCAAGCGGGTGGCTGATCAAGCAGACGCCGGCCTCGCAGGATTCGTGCCACAGCCGGAGCTCAAGGGAGTCGTGCAGAAGGACTTCAGCCTTGTGCCAGTGGCCATCATCTACCTGTGGCCCTGCCAAGGTGAACGACATTGTGGCTTCCTGTACTGAAAGCGTCACTTTCAGAAGACCGCCAGAGAGCTCTAGGTAGAGGTGTTCTGCCTGGTGTCCTCGGTAGAAGAGGACGGCATCCGGCAAGGTGGTCCGGAAGCGGAGAGCCACGCTGGAGACGTGACTTCCCGCGACGCTGCTTTTGCTCTCGCTGTTTGCAGACAGGTTGATGAAGAGATAGACCCGTGATGTGAAGGAGAAGGTGGTCGGCATGGCGCAGGTCGGGCCGTAGAACCCGGGGCGGCACTGACACAGGTGTCCGTGGATCCCGGACTGGTAGGTGGGGGTGCACAAGGCCTCGTTTTGGCAGCTGTGGTTCTGGCAGCCGGTGAGCTCCACAGAGCAGTTCTTCCCACCCCAAGCGGTGCCGTCCGGTCCTGGGGTGCAATGGCAGATGTAGTCGGCAACGCCGTCTTCGCAGGCACCCCCGTTTTCACACGGGTGCCCTTCACACTCGTCGATGTCAGTGGCACATTCCACACCTAGTGCACAGAGAATAACGTGGGAATTACTTAGACGGCACACATGGCACACATGATCTCATGGCAGCAAAGAAGTTTCATATCCTGCTGTCCTGGCTAAAGAGAGGAATGACCATTCCTACATACTTGATAGAAAGACCAACAGCCCCATCCCCCAGCCCCCAATTAAGAAGCCTGTTGCTCCTCCAAGCCTCGAAAACAGGTCCCTCTTAATCTCCCAAGACAGCTGCAGAGATAAACAAAGTCTGGATTATTCGGCTTAATAGCATTACACCCTGTCTGCAGGTCTGGCAGGAGCCAGAGTGCAAAGGCAACGTGGAACTTGCTCCTTCTTCTCTTCTGCAATCAGGAATGGAACCAATGTCCAAATGGACCTCCTGCTATTACGACAAGGGGGTCCGTTCATTCACAGCAGTATGAGGAATCAAGCATTCTTCTTTAACTGAACTATTACTATCTCAACAACTTCAGAAGGCCACAAATGCCCCATCCCTCTAGTGCAGGCATGGGTAAATTTCACTGGCCCCTGGTCAAAGTATCAACTGGTCCCTGGTCAAAGTGGTCTCTTCCAGATGTCTCTCTCAGCATTTGCATAGCTCAAGCCTCAATAATGTAATAGTATCCAAGAGTCCCAGGCTCAGCCAATTCCCTGGGCATGGTTCCCACTATTCCTAACAGCGGCTGAGGGGGGAAAAGGAAAGGACCTGAGGCTGTTGGGAACTGTATTGGAACTGGACACTTCAGTCAATCAAGGGATCATCTGCATACCCATGTTGTGGGAGTTGAGGTCCAAAGGTTTGTCCATGCCTTTTACATCTTGGAACTAAACACTTCAGTCAGTTAAGGGATCCCATAACATGGGTATGTAGATGATCCCTTGATTGACTGAAGTGTCCAGTTCCAAGAGGATCAAGGCATGGGCCAACTTGGGCCCTTTCTCCAGGTATTTTGGACTTCAACTCCCTCAACGTGAGTATGCAGATGACCCCTTGATGGACTGGAGTGTCCAGTCGCAAGAGGACAAAGGCATGGGCCAACTTGGGCCCTCCCTCCAAGTGTTTTGGACTCCAACTCCCACAACGTGGGTATGCAGATGATCCCTTGATTGACTTAAACGTCCAGTTCCAAGAGGACAAAGGCATGGGCCAACTTGGGCCCTCCCTCCAGGTGTTTTGGACTACAACTCCCTCAATGTGGGTATGCAGATGATCCCTTGATGGACTGGAGTGTCCACTTCCAAGAGGACCAAGGCATGGGCCAACTTGGACCCTCCCTCCAGGTGTTTTGGAAGAGGCCTGAGGCTGCTAGGAATTGTGGGAGCTGCAGTCCCAAACATCTCGAGTGCCGAAGTTTCCCCATACCTGCCCCAGAGATTTCCAGGGCTGAAAATGTTCCCCAGGAGAAAGCAACGGCATGCAACCCTTGGATAGCAGTTGCACCATAACTCCATGAATAAACATTATCTGCAGAAGCCCCAGGTCACTTCATTTTTGGGATGCTTCAGTAAGGGGGAGGCGGCGGAGGAGGAGGAGAGTCCTGCATTTCAATATTCACTTGCTGCACAAAGCCTCTGGAGAGCCAACACCTCCCCCTGATCCGGAAATAACAAGCCTTGGCTTTAGGCTTCCCAAGCCAGGCATCTCGATAGGCTGGTCCGTGCCAAGATATAACCTACCCGCCCCTCCTTTGATGGGAAGTTTGAGAAGAGGAGGGAGGGAAACGGTTGAGTACAAGCTCTTTCAAAGCAACAACAATGTATTTGTATCATCACAGCCACACTTCTCTGCCCAGGAAACACTCACCTGCAATTGTACCTGGAATGGAGAACTTGGTGCTACCGGTGCTACCTTTGGGTGGATCAAAAAGTAATGCCTCCACGGCTCTAACTTGTATTTCTTTCCAAGCTGCTGGACTATCTATACGTGATAGGAGAGACGGAACCTGACTCTACTGATAGAGACCTTACTTGTTCCGATTGGCTGAAAAGAACCATGAATCTGAAGCTGAAAGAATGGTCGCCATTGGATTTCGGGCCAAAGAAGGTTAACATGGACTTAGGGAAACCCATCATCACTTCTGATTTTGACCTGCTTGGACCTAGAAGCATAGATCCTAGAATCCAAGAGTTGGAAGAGACCTCCTGGGCCATCATCCAGTCCAACCCCATCCTTCCAAGAAGCAGGAATATTGCATTCAAATCACCCCTGACAGATGGCCATCCAGCCTCTGTTTAAAAGTTTCCAAAGAAGGAGCCTCCACCACACTCCGGGGCAGAGAGTTCCACTGCTGAACGGCTCTCACAGTCAGGAAGTTCTTCCTCATGTTCATAGAATCATAGAATCCTAGAGTTGGAAGAGACCTCCTGGGCCATCATCCAGTCCAACCCCATTCTGCCAAGAAGCAGGAATATTGCATTCAAATCACCCCCGACAGATGGCCATCCAGCCTCTGTTTAAAAGCTTCCAAAGAAGGAGCCTCCACCACACTCCGGGGCAGAGAGTTCCACTGCTGAACGGCTCTCACAGTCAGGAAGTTCTTCCTCATGTTCATAGAATCATAGAATCCTAGAGTTGAAAGAGACCTCCTGGGCCATCCAGTCCAACCCCATTCTGCCAAGAAGCAGGAATATTGCATTCAAATCACCCCTGACAGATGGCCATCCAGCCTCTGTTTAAAAGCTTCCAAAGAAGGAGCCTCCACCACACTCCGGGCAGAGAGTTCCACTGCTGAACGGCTCTCACAGTCAGGAAGTTCTTCCTCATGTTCAGATGGAATCTCCTTTCTTGTAGTTTGAAGCCATCGCTCCATTGCGGCCTAGTCTCCAGGGCAGCAGAAAACAAGCTTGCTCCCTCCTCCCTGTGACTTCCTCTCACATATTTATACATGGCTATCATCTCCTCTCAGCCTTCTCTTCTTCAGGCTAAACATGCCCAGCTCCTTAAGCCGCTTCTCATAGGGCTTGTTCTCCAGACCCTTGATCGTTTGAGTCGCCCTCCTCTGGACACATTCCAGCTTAGAGTCAACATCCCTTCAATTGTGGTGCCCAGATTTGGACACAATATTCCAGATGTGTTCTAACCAAGGCAGAATAGAGCATGACTTCCCTGGATCTGGACACTAGGCTCCTCTTGATGCAGGCCAACATCCCATTGGCTCTGATAGACAACCTCCATAGTTTCAGATTCAATGACTAGTTGGCTTTAAACAGCTTGGAAATCATGGGTCATGAAGCAAAACCCTGAATTTTTCCAAAATGGTGTTAATGCCCAGGTTAAACGATGGTGCAAATGTGTACAAATTGGTGGCAACCATGTTGAAAGGTAGTGTTGCATAGAGGACAGTTCGGGCGATGATTTGGAGCAACTTCTGCTGTTCCAGGTCCATTCATAATGTTTTTATGACCCAGGAAACTTTTTGACCCATGTGTCAACCCAAACTTTAGACCAGTGGTTCTCAACCTGTGCGTCCCCAGATGTTTTGGACTTCAGCTTCCAGAAATCCTAGCAGCTGGGATTTCTGGGAGTTGTAGGCCAAAACACATGGGGAGAACCACAGGTTGAGAACCACTGTGATGGATCATAAAAACAAGACCACCTACGTGTGGTAGACTTCCATTCCACGTTGAGTTGGGACCCCTTTCCTTTGCTCTCGGGAGTCCCAAGATAGATCATGGGTCACCAAGGTGTGTGTAGGCCATCTCAACGCTTGCGCAAGAAGCAAGAGTGTTGTGGCTCCCATTAGCATCCCATTGGCGACCAAGAGAGCAACACTTCCCATGTGTTTTGGGGTCCAGCTTTAGCCAGAGATGCCAGGGAGCCTCTTGGCCAAAAAAAACCCACATTCTAAGCCCAAGGTGGCTACTACTTTTATCATTTTTGAGGCCACTGCATCTCAACCTCAGCACCAACAACGTAGTTAAAGCAAAATCAAGGAGGATGTCAACACCAAGGGTTCCAACTCAACATGGAATGGAAGTCTACCACACGTAGGACACACAGAAACCCACACAGAACTCCCACGACCAACAGAAAATACTAGAAGGATTTGGTGGGCATTGACCTTGAGTTTGGAAGTTGTAGTTCACCTACATCCAGAGAGCACTGTGGGCTCAAACAATGATGGATCTGGACCAAACTTGGCACAAATCCTCAATATGCCCAAATGTGAACACTGGTGGAGTTTGGAGGAAATAGACCATGAGATTTGGGAGTTGTAGTTGCTGGGATTTATAGTTCACCTACAATCAAAGAGCATTCTGAACCTCACCAATGATAGAATTGGGCCAAACTTCCCACACAGAACCCCCCATGACCAACAGAAAAGGCTGTGTAGTCTGAACCACACTTGGCACACAGAACTATGACCAACAGAAAATACTGGAAGCGTTTGGTGGGCATTGACCTTGAGTTTGGGAGTTGTAGTTCACCTACATCCAGAGAGCACTGTGGACTCAAACAATGAGAGATCTGGACCAAACTTGGCACAAATACTCAATATGCCCAAATGTGAACACTGGTGGAGTTTGAGGAAAATAGCCTTGACATTTGCGAGTTGTAGTTGCTGGGATTTACAGTTCACCTACAATCAAAGAGCGTTCTGAACTCCACCAATGATGGAACTGAACCAAACTCGGCATACAGAGATCCCATTACCAACAGAAAACTACCTCTGAGGATGCTTGTCATAGATGCAGGCGAAACGTCAGGAGAGAATGCCTCTAGACCATGGCCATATAGCCCGAAAAAACCTACAACAACCCGGAAAATACTGGGTTTGGTGGACATTGACCTTGAGTTTGGGAGCTGTAGTTCAACTACATCCAGAGTAGTTGAACTACAACTTCCAAACTCCTCAATATGCCCAAGTGTGAACACTGGTGGAGTTTGAGGAAGATAGCCTTGACATTTGGGAGTGGTAGTTGCTGGGATTTGCAGTTTACCTACAATCAAAGAGCATTCTGAACTCCACCAATGATGGAACTGGACCAAACTCGGCATTAC